AGTTCCATTTAACTGCAATGAAAGCAGCCAGGATATCATTTCATTCATTCTACTCAAAAAAAAAAAAAAAAAAAAAAAAAAGAAGAAGAAGTAGGAATTGCACGGATGAATGATTTTTAATAAATGTGCATACATTATTAGTAATATTAAAAAGTGGCCAAAAAACAGTTAAAAAAGCAAAACCAAACAACAGAAACAACTATAATAAATGCATCAATGTTCATAGCATTATGGTTAGGTCCTCAAATATTTTTATTTATTAGATGTATACTCAACTTTTCATCCAGAAACTGAAAGCAGTGCACATACCATCTTCTTCTTCATTTGTTTTTACTCTTGAAAGAGTGAAATAGGCTGGGAGGAGCAAACTAGCCCAGGGCCATTCACTAAGCTTTTATGACTGAGAGTGAAGGCCTCCTTGGTCCTTGGTCACTATATGACAATGTAGACAGTGCCCAATTAATTCTGTGTTGCTGTTATTGTTTTAAATTCCACACCAACCCTATACATGTGCATTCACCCAACCTTTGTTTTGTAGGATTCTGCTGACCGTGGTGGTGATCTTCAGGATTCTTATTGTGGCGATTGTAGGCGAAACTGTGTATGATGATGAGCAGACTATGTTTGTGTGTAACACCTTGCAGCCAGGCTGCAACCAGGCATGTTATGACCAAGCATTTCCTATTTCTCACATTAGATACTGGGTATTTCAAATCATCATGGTGTGCACTCCTAGTCTCTGTTTTATAACGTACTCAGTTCATCAGTCTGCCAAGCAGAGGGAAATGAGGTATTCTACTGTTTTCCTCGCCTTAGATCGAGATCAGGATTCCATGAAACGGGATGACAGTAAGAAAATCAAGAACACCATTGTCAATGGGGTGCTACAAAACACTGAAAACTCCACCAAGGAAGCAGAACCTGATTGCTTGGAAGTGAAGGAAATTCCCAATCCAGCCATAAGAACCTCAAAGTCAAAGATGAGGCGCCAAGAAGGCATCTCTAGATTTTATATCATTCAGGTGGTCTTCAGAAATGCCCTGGAGATTGGGTTCCTGGTTGGACAATATTTTCTGTATGGATTCAATGTCCCTTCCATGTACGAATGCGACAGATATCCCTGCATTAAAGAAGTTGAGTGCTATGTCTCCAGGCCCACCGAGAAGACAGTTTTCTTGGTCTTCATGTTTGCCGTGAGTGGCATTTGTGTGGTGCTCAACTTAGCCGAACTGAACCACTTAGGTTGGAGAAAGATCAAAATGGCTGTGAGGGGAGCACAAGCTAAACGGAAATCAATATACGAAATCAGGAACAAGGACCTGCCACGCATGAGTGTGCCCAACTTTGGCAGGACTCAGTCTAGTGACTCTGCTTATGTGTAAGACTGGCAGAACCAGAAAGCTTTACTGTGTATCTTTGCGAGCTGCCATTTGAATTAGGGAAGGAACATTGCTTAAACAACTGTTTTCCTACAACCACCAAGAAAGCCGTTAAAGTATTCTCTGTGCACTTTCTAGACAGATTCAAACCCGAGTGCTCATGACAACAACAACAACAACAACAACAGTAAAAGATGGATAAAGACACAGTGGGTCAACACCTGCAATCTGGCCTTACAGCTCCATTACTTCTGCCCCGCTCTCCCTTCCCCTCCCCCTAGGATCCAATGCTGTCTGTTGAAGAGCACAATCTTTTGGCCATGATTAGTATCACTCCATTTGTATGACTGATGGAAAACATGCCCAGGATGTTATTGTCAAAAGAGAAGGATGATGGGAAGCATTTCTACAAAAGTTGGGGTGAGGGGGGTGAGGGAAGGGAGAGATTCCTACTCTCTAAGCACATGATTGCAAAACTGCCAGGACTGATCACCCCCAAACCTCATCTTGTGGGTACCTAAACATCACACTCTCTTTTGGCATTATGCAGTTAAATACTGTGTATGCTTAGCATTTATTTTTTCTATCATCATTTTTGGTACAACAATAATAATAATAATAATGAACATACTGAGGTCAATATAATTTTAATTGTCATACAGCTAATTGTGGCCCATCAAATTTATGAAATAGATTTGAAAAAAAAATCACAGTTCCACACTATGCGGGTGAGGAAGATGTAGTGATTTAAAATTCAGCTAGTTGAAGTAATTACCTGGATTTTAAAATTACATATACCAAAGGAATAGAATGGATCACTAACTGTGAAAAAACAAAACCTATTTGCCCTTACTACAACAAGTGCCATACTTGAAGTTCAAACATCGAATTCTATATTTAGTCAAAGGCTTGGCTAAAGATCCCAACTTGAAATACTGGGTTTTATACTTTTTTTCCATTTTTATCTAGCTATAGATACATTTTGTTTTGCTTTTCTCCATTATGGCAAAGGTGCAAATGCCCTTGGCAAATTGCTAAAAAAATAATTTTTTTTAAAATAGAAAGTTAACTTTCTTTTATATATGCATATATGTTAGTAACATTGCACTGATATATGATGATGAAACTGGTGTATCTATCTAGAATATAAGAACCATTACATTATTGCCTCTTTTTATATTCATGGCCTGGATTATATCTAAAATATTTGTAGGGTTTATTTTTCCTTACAGTGTCATGGTGCTAAAATAGGGAAATATACATGGATAAGTAGCAATATAGCATGATCCAGAAAATGTATATGCATGTTTGTCTGTGTGTCTGTGTAAGCACACAAAACATCTTTATCATTTTTCATTATATGAACATTTCAGGGATATAGTATTGTTTTAGATGGGGTGATTTTTTCCTTTTTCAAATAAATGATGTTAGTCTATTTTAGGCTCTATGCTACAATTTCTATGCATTTCTCACCTTATAATATGCCACCAATTTTTAGTAATTATATTTAGAAGGGACTCCAAATATTGGGTTGGAAGCTGCCTGTTGTCTACTCATGCAGGCTTCTAAACGTTTCCCCAAATTCCCCACTAATAAATGTGGATGTTTCTAAATAAAGGAAGGAAAAACGTGAAATTGCTTAGAATTCCCTTACATGTTAAACTGCAAAAGCTGGAAATTAGGGAAGTTGAACTATCATAAGGTTGACTTTAGTGATAGGGCCCATATTTGCATCCTGTGGTCACTATTAGAAATGGGAGAATTTTATCTTATTTTATTTTTTCCCCTGATTCATTATTCCCCTTCATTCATTAAATTGAATTCTCCCATGCTAGTACATCTTTAGTTTTTTTTAAAAAATAGTTTATGCCACAAGTTAAAGTATTTATGTGCTTTTTCCAAGCATTATGTACCATTTTTGCAAATCAATTTTCTCTAATTAAATGCAATCTGCAGATTATTTTCTTATATATTGGACAAAAATACTTTAAATTTCCGTACATTAAAATTAGTACAGAAATCAAAGAATTTCTCTCTCCTTAGCTGCTGCAAATATGTCCAGAACAACTATACATACCATAATTCTATTATAATTACGTAAAATTATATAAAAATAATCAAAATTATTTGAGATCCAATTCTCTACTATTTAAAAGTAGAAAATGAATTATTTTCTTTTCCTTTTTTCCCTTCCTTTTGATTCTATAGTGTATGCTGTACCATAATTATATTTCCTTAGTCTTCGGACTAACTATAACCATATCTAAATCCATGTTTAAGTTTCACTAACCTTTATATTGATCCATATTCTTAAATTCACTTGTGCTCATATATCTTTGTTTTGTCAGAAAATCAGATATGCATATGGACTGGCCAACAATGTATAAATCATCCCAGCATTGTTTTCAGTAGAACAGAATTTGCAGTCCTAACCTTGCTTAACTGTACAGAGTTATTATTGATGTATTTGAGACAGTTGCATGTCATATTTCCTAAATGCTTTGAGGCAATCTGAATCGACTACTGAGTGTAAATGACAGTGATGGGAAATGGATCAGACAAATCTAAAGAAAAATAATCAATATATAGGCTCTGAATAAAGGAATGGGAAAAGTTGGCACTAAATGCATTTTATCTCTATTGATGGGAACATGCCTTAGGACAGATTTTGTTAATAATTTCACATGGACCTATTTGCTTATTTAACAGAAAAGTGTCTGCTGTTTATACCTGTAAAGATGGCTCATCAAGCAATGCATTCTATTTTTTTTTACATTTGTGCAGTTTGATCATAGTTCTCCGTAGATATGATACTTTTAATTGTGGGAATGTTGGGAAATTCAGGGTGTGCTATTTATGCCATTGGCATTGGCTTCAAACAGTTAGCTGTGTTCCCCTTTATCCCCCAAATTGTTGAATGAACTGCTTTTGTGTAATTGTATGAAATGATGCCTGTAAAGTCACCCCCTTTCGTTTCAGCAAGTCTTACAAGCAAGCAACGCTTGGTGAACGGAACTCTTAACTCTCTAACAGAAATGCATATTATATTTCACATGAAGCCCATTGAAATATACTGTATATCCATGAATGTCCTTGATTTCTCTACACATAATCACTGTGTAGGGCAACCTTTTGGTGTATAAACTGATTTCACTGAAAAGCACAATGTGGTATGAAATCGTACTTGTCTGTCAGATGAGCTGCTCACAATAACCTCAGACAGTAAATTATGAATATGTATCTGTTGAATTACATATCTTATTTTTAAGAAAATATTTTCAGGATTGGTGTCATTTTACCTTGTTAATTTTATGTACGGGGAAAAAAAATGAAGTTGCTTTAACATGTTGGATATTAAAAAGAATTTGAGGTGCTTTAAAACATGGTTTTGCCGCTCACATGAATGCTGAATAAATCAGAAAGAGATACTTATTTTCAGATTTGAATTGGCAAATGTTTTGAGTTGCACGGCTCATAATTTTAGTTTTTTAAATCACTTTTTCATCCTTTATATTGTATAGAAAACTGATCACTATATTGATGCTCTGTGGGAAAGGGGTGGCATAGATACTGAAATAAAAGAAGCACTCAAATAAATTAGAACAGCCATTGGAGGAGAAATGGGAATTTTGTACAAGTTGGCACACTGGAGAGACAAATTAGAGTGTAGCACTCAGGGCTGTGGTTAAAAACACGATATGGCTTTGATGGGATGCCCAAACCTCCATCCATTTTTATGTCAGTTGTACCACCGTCTTACCTTTTTGACCACATCCTGTGGGTACTCCTAATAGGGCTGATATTGGAGAGACCTCTGTTTAGGTCGCTGAACCATCATGGATTCTCTTAGTGATTGTAGGCTGGTCATGTCCTCTCAATCCAGTATAGCCCCCTGCATAGTTTTTGAGAGGTTTAATAAAAAGTTACCCAAGATTGTGGTCAGCAGTTTGTTAGGGAAAGATGGAATCTATGTAAGGTAAAGGTTTCCCTTGTCCAATTGTGCTTGCCTCTGGGGGGCGCTCCCACTCTTGAACCAGGGCTGTCAGATTTCTAACTGACAATGGCTCTTTAGCCGCTAAGCCAATATGCCCATTTTGGAATCCATGTAATTATGTAACTAAGAATAAATGAATGAATGCAATTTTTCTCTGAAATCAACATTTTTGGGAAGTGACTGATATCAGATTAATTATTAATCCTTCCCTCAATTAAAGAAGTGCCACTTTCTGTCTGTACCTCTATTGCCCCTAAGGAAGAACTATATTACACAAATATTATTTTAGAGGGCAAATATGCCAGGTAAAGATTACCAGTTATAGTTTCATATTAAACTATATTCGCTTATAGGTTTTTTAAAAGTCAGACAAAATATTCTTGACAAATTTGGTAATCATTTTGTACCCAATTTTTAGCAGGTCATTGAAATGTAAATTGTATTATTGGTATTATTAGTAATAGTAATAATAGTATCAGGAAGAGCGCCTAGTTACAGTAACAGTTATAAGAATAATTGGAATAATGCTTAATAAATAGTACCGTAATGGATAATAATAGGCGTTTTAGTGCAAACTTTATATTCAGTAAGGAATGGCTAACTGTTTAGAGATTTCGCTAGTTCTGGATCATGCTCAGCTTAGGTAAGATAAATGGGTTTCTACTATTGGTACTCTAGCATGGATTCAAAATCCCATTGTATATTGAAGGCATGTCTTCAAAATTACCAAGTGATACATTTCAATGCTTTTAGTGAAAAGCACAATTAATAACTTCCCCAAAAGCAATGCCAGTAACTTCCCTCACTACTTTAGCTCTTAAAGAGAAAATACAGAACTTGCTTACTGACTTGGAAACATGCAAATGGATGGAATAAAATGGAATAAATTTAACATTTGTTAACTGTATAAAAGTGTTCACATACATGGAATCCGCATCATTGTTATCCATAGAAACTGATAAACCCATGTGTGTTTCTACCCTATCACATGTAAAATAAATGCATGTGGATATATCACGGGGCAAAAACAGGTTGGGCATTCCAGTTTAGGCTAAAGATTAACACTTTCAATATACAATAAGATTCTTTTTTGGTGGGGGAGGGTGTAGGTGCCTTTGAGTAAGTGTTAACTTCTGGTGACTGCCTGGAGTTTTCTCGGCAGTGTTTTTTGCTGTAGTTTGCCATTGCCTCTTTTTTAGGATGGGCAGTGAATGACTGACCCAAAGTCACCCAGTTGACTTTGTGCCTAAGGTGGGGCTAGAACTCACAATATCCCGGTTTATAGCCTGGTGCCTTAAATACTACATCAAACTGAAGTTATATCTGAAAGTATAAAATAATGGGAAAGATCCATATCATTTGCTTGCTAGTAGGGATAAAAATCTCCATCCCTGATTTCACAGGTTTGTTATTAATGTTTTGTTTTCCTTCTTTAGATACATTTGATTGTTATCTTCCCTGCTTAAAACTGGATATAACAGATGATAAAACAATTGTAAAATATATAATACAATCATTCCCTGTGCCCCTTTACCTTGAATAATTAGTCTTCGAAGACTAATATTGCTATTGTGTGTAGATCTAGAATTAAGTTCACACCCTAGGAAGTTGTTTGCTGTTTAATAAATGACTGTGTTTTTTATAAAGTTAAGCAGGAATTCCTAGTGAATATTACCTTTTGCCTTTTACAGGGCAATTGTAAAAGAAGCACCAGTTTCTGAATGTATAATTTCAGTTTAGATGACCTGAATATAGAACAAGACTGGAGAAAGAAATGAATTACAATGAATACTTCTGATGAAAAAAAATATTGGAAAGTTACCAAAGATCAAGAATGAGATGGCCGTGAGAAAGGAAGGATTTACTATCATTAAGTAGAAAAAGAAACAGGGAAAGAAAGGTAGAAGAGACATGGATTTGTGTTTCTGATGTTTTGGCTCTTACAGACTTCATTAAATTATCTGTATTAGAAATTGAATCATATTCTGAAATATATCCATGCAAACTGTTACGATGACTTTTGTATTATTTCATATATAAACAATTTTTGATCTCATTTGGCTGAAATGATTCATCTCTCTCTCTCTCAGTCATTGTATATTATATTATTTGCCAACTATTTTTCTAAAGTCACCACTAATATTAAGAAGTTGAAATCAAATCTAATTTAGAGAATCCACAAGGTGACTCCATTTAACTGAATTACTGGATTATTTAGATTTATGTATCTCACCTGCATACATCGCCGAATTACAGCATCAAATTTTGCAGATTCAGAGAGTGGAGAGATAAAGAATATGGAAGACAGTAAATCTTTACATCCTCTCACACTTCTTACAGAATTCTATGAGTAATGGAAAACAGCACAACAGCAAAACAAGATGCCAATTCCTCTACTGAAATTGATACCAGTCAGTAAAAGGAGGACTTGTGTTTCTGTAGACTCAGTGGCCAAGCAATTTAGAGTTTATGCTTAGAAAAGCACTATCAGTTTGTTGGTAGTTGCTACATGTATGATCTGAATAGGACAATGTTATTTCTAGCTTTTTAAATTAAACCCTAAATTGCAATCTGTGATTCAGTGGTTTGTGACTTGGTGGTCAGAAAAAGTTTGCATTGTGAGTTCAGATAATATCTATAGTTCCTGCCCAACTATGGTTGGGTCATTAAAAGTTATTTTTGATGGTCACTTATAACATGAACCAAGTATTTATGGGCCTCTTGCAAGGGTGCATGACCCATTTAACTATTTTACAATTAAGTACCATGTCCGTACAAGATCATGGTTTATTGAGAAATAAACAAAAAGCCTAATATATTTGTCCTGAAGTTTAAAAGATCAAGGGCAACTGTACAGGTAGTCCTCGATTTACTATCATAAACTCTCATAAATATGAATCTGTATTTCTGAAGCGTCTGAATTTTGATGTCATGACCACAGAGATACTGCAACGGTTATAATGGTCATAAAA